GAGATCATCCTGGCAACTACGGGATATCCTACATAGGTGGAGTCCTTATCTGCCTTGGTATATTATTTGTTGATTGATTTTTCCTCTGGTATTTAAATATAGGGCCTGCTTGTGGGCAAAACAACCTTTTATGCTTTCCATTTTGTGACAAGCAACTTCAAACAGACGGTTTTTTTGGCAGCGCTTTTAGCCCACCACGGGCTCCTGCCGATTAGACTCTTTCCATTACGGAGCTAAATAATAGGGGCCGCACTAGAACGAGATGGGGCCATATTTTATAGGTGCTACCCAGAAACTTTGGCAGGGAGTCTTGTGGGTCTGTGGCTACTGTGGTAGTGAACTCAGGAGGTGGTGCAGTGGAGGGTTTTTTGCAAAGGAAGCATGGCGAAGGCTATTTCGGGATGAATGAGTTCCTGGTTTACGGCCTGGTTATCTGGGGCTGCAACCCATGACAAAAGCATGAAACAAAAAGAAGGATTGTAAAATCCCATTGAGAAGTCATTGTCTGCAGAGTTAACTAGTTAGAGGCATCTGTTCTCATCACGTGCAAGGTTAATTCTTTGCACTTTCATTGACCTTCTTCCAAGAGGGCACTTTTAAAGCACAGAGACGAGATGTGGTCCATTAACTGCCAAGCCCACCCCCGAGACATTGGTGACTTCTTCTCAGCCACTTCCAAATTCATTAAAAGAGCCTTACTGAATCTGTGACTATCTGTGAAACCTGGATAAGCAGTCTTCCTGTGAAGCAGTCTTCCTGTGATCCTCTGAAGTCTGATGTGGTTTTGATGTGGAAATGGATGCTGCTGGGGAAAAGGGGAACCAGACTTGTGTTGCAGCCAGCTGTGTCCCCACCAGAAAAGTAATCTGTAACCTGCTACATCTGGCCTGGTTTGGCCTGGCCCTGGCCTCTGTGCTTACTACACTGACATTAATGAGCCTCACAACATTAATGGTTACCAGGACAGAGTGGAGGGGAAACTTTTTTTGGCAGGTTGTGCATTAATAATCTGACGTTTCCGTCGTCTTTGAAAGCTCTCTAAATCTGAGCAGCTTTGGGTGGTGTAAGCGTGTGCACAAATGATGATGTTTTTGTGCATAAAAGTGTACATGCATGTTTCTATCATAGACTCATTCTGGAAATATTGCTCATCCACTAAGCCTGTTATGCTGTCCCTGAAGTTTGGAAACATATAATAAAGATGGAAGGAAGCTCTTTATGTCAACCCTCAGTGAGGAAGCAGTCATCTTTAATTATCGCTGCTTTCATCCCTCGTAGCGAACACAACAAATAAGTGCTCTTGTGCGACCTGGCAACGCGTCTCAGAGAAACCATTTGTTTGTAAGCTTGTTTGTTTGTGTTTTTCAGATCACATGACCAAATGCTCTTTTCTCTCTCCCCCCCCCCCACTTATTTCGGAACATCAAGTGCATTTGAAGTCGCAATGTGGAAGTCATTAGCCACAAATCCCAACCAATATAATAACAGGGCGATTAGCTCTCTCTCAGCGGTCCTCTGCTGTTTCCTTTTCCCCCCTCTTGTCGCCGGGGTGGTGCAGTATTCTGTGAGGGCAGGGCTTGGTAAAGGGCGAGTCCTTCTCTTCCCTTTCCCGGATTTTTTCTATTTGTAGATCTGCATGTATTTTATAGGAGGTTTTTTCTCCCCCCCCTTCTCTCTGTCTTTCATGCGGCGGTGGTTCTGTTTCCCATCACGGCCTATGATGAAACCACAAGAAAGCCCAGGCCCATGTGACGAGAGCACAACAGTTGCTTGGTGACATGGAAAGGGGGTGTCAGATTGAGGGCTGGTCGTGTTTGTAGGGGAGGGGGCATGGAGTGGTGATGATCCAATCAGCAGATGAGCTCTTAACTTCCTCCAGGACAAGGATAAAGTGCTCATATCCACCATATTCTTTCTTTAGCTATATAGATGTGTGGCCATCCTCAAGGCTCTTAAATGGACCATTCATGTCTAACGTAGCCTCACTTATCTCTGAGGCCTTGCAGATCCGCTTCTTCCCTTTCCCACCACAAGCAAATGGTGTCTTGAAACCACCTGGAACAATCCCCCTTCCCCATATTCCTCCAGGGGGCAAAACGCTGCCATATTTACCATCTTGTCTTGGAAAGCTTAGTTGACCGCAGCAGGGCGGGATGATTGCCAGCAGCAGCTCGTTCCAAAGGGACCATGTGCAGACGAGCTCTGCTTCATCCTGAAACTCTAGAGTAAAGTCTCCTGAAGGAGGAAAGGAGACATTTACAAAGTCATTTGGCTCTTTCTTTTCGATACAGTGTGTTGTTGAGCAGCGCTTCGTTCAGTCATTTTAATACCCTCTTTTCGGGGAGAAGATATTTGAAGGACGTGAGCTCATTTGGGATGCAGTCTGTTGCCCTGTCGCTACCTGATGTTATCCTCTGTGACTTGGGCAGTAACAGTCATGATTGCTTTTGGGGAGCAGTGACTCATGATTGTGCTGCTGCCAAACTCTCAATGGCAGTGGTTCCTTCTCTTTTTTTCTGTTTGCCGTCACTGCCAGCATCCGGAGAAATGTGAATTCAATGAAAATTAATCATTTGATTCCTGTCTTCCCCAATAAGTTCTGTGTATATTATACCATACAAATCATAACATGCAGGATAACTCATTTTGTAGCTTAAGGTCAATGACAAACCATAATTACAAGTCACTCCACTACTAAATCTTACTGTTTTGAAAAGTATTATTTTGCTGTGTGGTTATTTGTTTTCTTGCCAATATTATGTGTGTGTCTTTTAAACTGATTGAATTGTTCCCACTTTTAAAATGATTGCTCAAGATGGAAACATAGGTTGAGTGATAACACGGCTTCAGTGTAGGCGGTAGTGGCGATTCTCTCTGAACAACCAGTGGCCAGAATTATTAGTGAAGTAGTTCTAAAAAAGTGTTGAGTCAGGTAGAGCCATAACATGAAGTGGCAACACAGATTAACATTGATATCAGATCTCCACCTTATCTCTAAAGTCTTCCACAGGATAAACATGCTACATGGTGATCATGTGCATCCTTTTCAATTGCACAATTTGCATTATTAAACACACCATGTTGTCTGGAGTGTCAGCCCCACGACTCTTCATCGCTCCCTTGTGTAGGGGAGCAAGAGCATGACCCCTAGTTGTACCACCATTAAGCTGTTTATTTTATTTTATGGAGTCGTGTTCTGCCTCAGACACTCTCCAGTGGATTTACGATCTGGCGGTGGCCTAGTTGGTATTAATTTGCTAATATAGAGGGGAGCCATTCACAGACAATAGAGTGGCATCATAATGCAGGAACCTGACACCCTGCATCTCCTTGCCACCGTTGAACTCCTGTCAGCCAGACGATGGATGGCTAACAAGCTTGACTGAATAACACTGCCGAAACAACTTTAATTAAAAGCTACTTTGGCTGCCAGGGGCTTTGATTTACTTTCAAATTAAGAGAAGTATAGTAGAGGATGCAAGAGACTGAAATGAATGTTTGTGTGCAAGCTAACTGCTGTTAATATATCAAAACATGGTAGAAAGTACGGGAAGCAAATGTAGGTCCCTTACATATCTACATTAGACACATATTGTAACATCTGCAGTCAACACACGGTTTCATTTGGGAGATGTTTGGTCTCCTAAAAGAATAATTCTCCTTTAGGTCTTAATTGATGCTGCCTTCCTCCTCTAGACGTGTGAAACGGCATCTTAAGGTTGCCATCTAACGATAGTCGCAAGCTCAAAAGTTGAGATAGAAGCCTGTGAAGCAAAGAGATCCCCCCCCCCCCCCCAAAAGAAATTCTGTATAAAAGTTGAAAGGGGATGACAGAAGAAAGCCAAAGCAGCAGAGGAGAAAAGAGTTGTGAATGCTGAGAAGGGAGAACAGAGGATAAGATATGAGAAAGAGAAAGGAAGTTAGGAAACCTTGGACTGGAAGAGAATGAGAAAGAGCCTTGGAGCACGGCTGTCTCACTATGGGATGTAATGACTGTCATATTGTGATGCATTAGCTCATACTCAGCCCAGACAGCTCCACTTGATGAAAGGGGCCGGTCACTGGCTAACTGCATACATAGCAACAAGACCCCATGGAAACGAGCCAAACAAACGACTATTGTTCTGTTTCTTGAGTTTGATTGACAGGCATGAGTTGAAATAATTGTATTATGTATTACACTTCATAAGTCAACACTCAAAAGTGTCAAAGCACACACTGTAAAAGAACACTTCAAAGTGATGCCATTGTCAGTATTTACTCTTGGCAACATAATGTCATACATACAGTCTTTTTGTATCCCCTGCTGTTTATACTGAAGGAGAATCCTGCTCTGTCTATGTTTGAGTAATCATAACATAATAAATTAATATTTTCCATCGTAATGCAATCACAGAGGAATTCAGCTGTAGCAGTTAAAACTCTCTTGATGGGAGCCCCCCCACCCCTCCTCAAGGCTGAGAGCGATGCACAGTAATGGCTGATCACGTTCCCGTCATCAGCCAATGTTTATTTGACTTCCCAATTTCAGGGAAGAAAAGCTCTCCCCCAGCCATTGTTTTGCTTTGAAACCAGCTCTCCCTTTTCTCACTCTCTTTCTGGCTTGGCCATAGGGTAGTCATACATTTCCTAGAAATCCAAGCCATGTTTGCTTTACTTGTATTACTGTATATCTGTGGGCCATTTTTTCTCCTGCGATGACATTAATTAAAACAATACAGTGTTTGATCTTTCTTTACCCCATTTGGCAAGAGCCGAAATGAACCGAGACTGGGCAAAAATTACAATTATTCCAAAGTTGTCGTCTGAACAAATGTTCCTAGCTTGAGAGTATTTCACTGAATCCACATTCTCAATAAAGCAGGTCATATTTGTGGCTGACTCTCTGAGTTCAAAAGATCTTGCCAAGCTTTTGATTTGCAACTTAAAAGATGTCTAAGCCCTTATTGCAGACACAAGTGATTCCTCTCAATTTCTCCATCTCGTTCCTCTTTTTCCAGAGTGCTACACTGCCAACGGAGAGGACTACAGGGGCTTCCAGAATCAGACCAGCCTGCATGGTGGTAAACCCTGCCTCTTCTGGAATGAGACTTTCCAGCACCCTTACAACACTCTCAAATACCCCAATGGAGAGGGGGGTCTGGGCAGCCACAACTTCTGCAGGTGAGTCCCTCATATTGTGCTGACCTACGGGTAAATAAGTTCAAATAAAGCAACGGTTTTAAACCTTTTTGTGGATTTTGACCCTTTAATGCTAAGTGGGACCAACTTTTAGAGGCTTCTAGACATAATATGTTCACCCAGGATATAGATTAGAGAAATGTAATTTGCACTTAAATCACAACATCTTAACTTTACCTCAGAGTTACATAAAACCTTCTTAAACACATTGTGTATATAATCATTCAAATAGACTTTGTTGGTATGAGTCCTGTGAGCAAATGAGACCCCCCCCCCCCCCCCCACTAGTGCCTCCCAAAATATTGTAGATTCTGAAATAACGTCCAAACCTACGTCACTCCACTCTATTTGTTTTACAAAGGCTACAGATAAAGATGAAGATTATTAAGACTAAGATTAAGATTAGTCCCAAAGCAGCTCCCTCTCCTTTTTTTATGTTGTTAAGCATCCTTCCTTTGTCCTGGAAATCCATCAGATTTACCGCAAAATCCTAAACAGTGACTTTCAATGTAAGACTAACAATCTTTTAAGCAGTTATGACAAGTGATTGATGTTATTGATGTCAACATGCTTTGAGTAGCACCGTTCAAACTCAGATGGATACTGAGGTTTGACAGAGCTTTGAACTTCTTGGACAAAGCATTTGACTGTATGAATAATTTAGTAACAGATTGTGTCCTTTTTGTGAAGGTTCTGAGCGCAGGGGAGCTGCTCAGACATCTGCCCCTGAATATTTTATTGGTAGTACCCGAACAGAACGTTTAGCCCCGGTCTTCACAAGGACACAAACACGCCTGAAGAGTTTGTCTAAGCAACTCTCCATCCATCATCCCTGGAATGTGAAGGGACACGGTGGCTTTTTGGTGTCTAGGAAACACTTTAAAATCCGTCTGTCACACTCCAAGTACGACTGTCAGCATTGTATGCACCAATGTCAAAGTTGTGTATTTGCCGGGAGCCACACTGTTCCGTGAGTCGGTTCAAATTCACCGAGACTACCAGAACAGTGGCTTGGCCAAGATCGCCAAGCCGTAGGAAACAGAACCACCCCCCCCCCCCCTCCCTGGCCCAAAGCCCTTGAAACATTTCTCTAAGTCACGGTTGTAAACTCATAATGCAGAAATGCTTTGAAGGAGCACAGAACAGATTAGTTTTTAACTTGAACTGGATGGGAATTTGGGAGATTTATGAGTAGGATACATGCAGAGGATCCAGGAAGGCTTTCCCTGCACATTAGGAGTGTATTATGTCAAAACAGCGGTCAAAAATGGACATCTCCACTGTTTGGATTTGCCTGTTTTCTTGGCCACTGGTGGAGTAAGCAGCTTTTCCAACTTACTAACAGCTCATAGCTTTGTTTCTTCCTGACAGAGGGATTTCTGTCACTTAGGGCTCCAGCTACAACTACTCCCAGTCTCTCTCAGACATAAAGAGTCACCCATCAGTGGGGCTATGGGGACCAAAGTGGCCACTTCATTATGAAAAGATGCAGGATGGCATGTATGGCATGTCTGCACAGGGTCAAGTATTTGTGCATGTGTCCTCCCACAAGTATGTCTCTGCAGAGGAGAGGGTAATCCCGCTGTAATCAGAATCAGAATACCTTTAGTCCCACAGAGGGGACATTTACATTTGTTACAGCAGAAAAGAGCCAAAGACAGCTTCATGTTAACTAAGAAGCATGCATAAAACACATATTAAAGATTAAAAAGAAAATACAAAAAATTAGACAATTTACAAAATACACATCCTGTAACAGTTCTGAATATATAGCAGCCAGGTATATATTGCACAGTTATTACGGCATGTATATATATTGCTCATATTGCATATTGCACATAGTTGGTATATAAAGCATGATGTCTAATGTTAGATTAGTTTTATTACAGAAAGTGAGATGTCTTAGACGTTGTTAATGAATTTAGATTGCAAATAACCTTATTTACATTTTTACTGTACGAGTACTAAGTAAAAGAATGATCTTTCATATGAGGCTTACATTTCTCTGGACATTTCTGACTAGAACACAATAGGTGGTAATACTTAAACAAAGGGTGGGGTTAAAAAAAAAGAAGAAGCAGAGCCAGGGAAGTTTTGGCATGTCTGACCCTGAGGCCAATTGGGGTTTTATGAGCCTGATCTGAGGCCAAGGCACAGGTGTATAATGGGAAGCTGCACGTATTTGCCTTAACACACGGCTCCACGCACATATAAGGTGTTGAGAAGCAGGGAAGTAGAGTATTACACACTAACTTCTGGTCCCATCACTGCCGTTTTCCAGTTGGTGATTTAGTCGAGAGGGCACTTCAGCAGTGCTGGAGAAAGACCCCTAACAGTCCCCACATTTCACTTTTATAGCCTGCTGTAAAAAACGGGGAGAAACTGGGCAGAGGGGAAATGTCACATTGTTCGCCTGCAAAAAGAAAAGCAGCACAAAGCCTCAGGAAAGGACAACAGCTCGTGTGTCTTAGCTGAGACTTAGCGATGCTCATTCCAACAGTGAATATCACAGTACTCATCATCAGCGTGTGGCAATTCAGAATTAATTTCATATCATCAAGTGGAAGTAAATGATCAACTCTTATGTCTGGTATTGAGTTGAATATTGGTCATTCTGCAGCATAACACTTTAAAAAGTAGTTTTTTTCACCTTTTAAGTAGTTTTTTTCACCTTTTCTGATACTTCACGACATTCAAAAGTCATTTATATTTCCTTTATTGTTTCTTTCAATCTACTATTCACAGACTGATTTTTTGATTTTCGCCCCGGTGCATTATTACGAGGGTTTGAAGTGCCTGACGCTTCAGTGGGTGGTTGAATAGCTTTGCCAGCCATTTCCTGGCTATTTATGTGCAGGTGTGTGTGTGTGTGTGTGTGTGTGTGTGTGTGTGTGTGTGTGTGTGTGTGTGTGTGTGTGTGTGTGTGTGTGTGTGTGTGTGTGTGTGTGTGTGTGTGTGTGTGTGTGTGTGTGTGTGTGTGTGTGTGTGTGTGTGTGTACTGTACAATTTACGAGTGTCCACTATGGCTTCTAATGCTTTTCCCTTACATACTGTAGGTGAGATAATGGAAATGCCAGAGTGAATAGTGTTCTCCAAGTTGATTGTAATTGAATCTCTATGATGTCAGGTGCAAAAGCAAACTGCAGTCAAGTTATCCACAGTTTGTGAGATCCAGTCGGCTTTTGTAAATTATGAAACAAATTTCGAGTTGTTTTTTAGCCATGCAGATGGTTTGGTTTTATTTGCGCAGGTATTGAGATTCCATTTTTTGACATTTCTGCATCCAACTAATAGGTTGTGATTTAGTGACTAAGTATAACTGAACATAGAATCAGAAACAGTTTTAATCATTTCAACTTTGTTTCTGATAAATGATGTGTTGTTTGTCAGTTCGCCTTGCCAGAAGGCTTTAAATATTACAATACAAACGTGGATGCTGCTGCTATGGAGGGGAAGCCATTCAAAGGTGTCAACCAGAGCGTTTTCAAATTCAAAACTAGTCAACAGTTCACCCACAATCCACTAGAAGATTGATTTTAATCTTCAGATTTCTTTCTCAAAAAGAGACATTTTCAGCTCTCTTTCCCAGTTAGCATCTCACATCAGCAAATGTTAAGCTTTCTGATTAGATTTCTTTTGCTGAATACAGCTTGGGAGTCAGGGTCAAATCTTCCTCTAACTAAGTTTGCATGTCATGTTATATTTATGTATATATTATGTACCTGCGACTCTTTTCAAAAGAAGCCCGTATTCTCTGACACAGTTCTGCACTGGTGATTAGCTTCATGCCAATCCAAGCAATGTGTGAGTCATTTTACATTAGTCTTTTTACTTAAGTGTAGTTAAATAGCTTCTCTCTTTGGTTGGTGGTAATAAGTCAATATCATCTTTTCTTCCCCTAATTTGTATCCTCAATGCTACTGCGGATAATCCTCAGGCTTCATTGTCAACAGTTTTCATTTGAAGAGAACTGTTGACGGTGAGGTCCATAGATTATCCAAAGTAGGATCTCTTCCCAATGCTGTAAACAAGACATTCCATTAATCTCCATTGTAACGAGGTGAAGGCCAAAAACACATATCCTGAATGAATGAACCCAAAATGATCTATATGGCTCGATTCCATTAAAGGAGGTGAGAAAATGTTAATTGTGTAATTTATGCGTATGGATCCTTTGAAGACATTAGTGAAGAAGCATAGTGTTCACCAGCCACCCTTGACACTGCGACATCACAACCTTGTGTCTAGCACTAGTGGACCGTGAGAGAACAACAGCAGACAGTAGACTTTACATACTGTATCGGCTCCGCAACCAACAAGCCCTCTTCTTCAATACATGCATTCATGCAGCACAGCAGCAGGCAGCATGCTAAATCATCCGAGTCAATTAAAGAGTCGTCTCTCAGGCAGTAAATTGCCAGACTCTGATCTGCTGTTGACCTCAAATCCCAATCCAGACGAGCCTCTCACCTCCACTTTCCAATCAACATTACTCCTATTTCCAATTCGGCAAAATTAGCTTTGATCTTGTTTTACGCCTTATTAGTTGTGTGCTCTCGAATCTCACTTCAAGCTTAGCTCCATCATGTTATTCCTAGCATTTGCACATATAGGTTTCATCCAAATGATTTTAGGATTTTTTGTTTTATAGTGCCAGGCATTTTAAAAAGTGATCGTAAATATTCTGATTAAGGTACGTGTAAAATGGTTATTAAAGGAAATCTTTTGAACAGCAGCCAGCCGGTTAAGAACAGCTGTTTTTCGCTGTGTTCAGATGTCTTAGCCTTCAAAAGCAGGACCGTAGAGCCTGTGAGGCAAAACGCAATGTGGCTATAATTGGCTGCGTACCAAAGTGTGTGGCTCACTCGGAGCAAAATGAGTCAATCAGCTTAATTGTGCCAATTAAGTGTCCAAACATCGTCTGTGATCCACCTCTGGGTATGAGAGTGTTTGAACAAGCTTTTCTATTTCGTAGCCAAGCAGGCCATCTCTGACGCACATGGATGTGAATGCAACAACCCTAAAACTACATACACACAAACACATACACATACACTGGCAGCAACTTTTATCCGAGTGTCACCACAAGGGCTGAGGTCTTTCTGTGTGCTGCCAGGTTAAACAAATACATTTCAGTGCATCTAGGCCTGCTCTTATCGGCACTGTGGCACCTCGGCTAATCTGACACTCTCTCCTTTCCACCCTCCCGGCAAACACACACACACAAACACACACACACACACACACACACACACACACACACACACACACACACACACACACACACACACACACACACACACACACATACTGTACACACACACACCTCAGGGCAGTGTTAATTATGTTTCTCTGTCATGTGGGCTGGCCTGTTCACCTCATCCCTTCCTTTGGAAGATGTTCCCATGCTTCTGCGCAAAGGGTGTGTTCAGATGTGTGTGAAAGAGAGGGGCGAAACACTTTGGGGACCAGTAGTTTGGGAGAAATCGCTTGGAGGGGCGCACAACGTCATTCACTGATCAAAGATACCCCTGGATCAGACATGGTGGTCTACTGAGGACTTTCTTTTGTCCACGCTGATGGCTGTAATTCATGTCTGCCTCCTTAGGGGGTGATTGAGAAAGCACAGTAAATTACCTAAGTGGCTATAGCTGAGCTCTCGGGAGTCTTGTTTCAAACAGGGCTATTACACGTTGAAAGGCATGAAAAAGAGAAGGGTATAGAGGAAGGCTATTTAATCCAATGTTTTGATGGTGGCACCCAGTTTTTGTTCTTTTTATTTCAGCTGTAGCCTCGGGATAAACAAACAGGTGTCTGCCTTCAAACCGGGTGAAGCAACAAACAGATCTGCGCCCATGATAAGGTGTCGATATTTACTGGAAAACAAATATGGTTTCCTTTGAACATGGGGCAATTTCAGGTCGAGGCCGTGACTTCTGGGTTGTTATTGATGGCAGAATAAATAACAAATACAAACGTGAAGTCTTTCTTCACACTTTCCCATCGACGACTGGCTGTAAGAAAGAGAAAGATAACACTTTCCCTGATAAGGAAAGTGAAAAGCTTTGAGGCACTTAACTTTGAGTTCAGCCGGAAAAAGTATTTACAGCGACATCTTTGTCAATACCTCATTCTGACTGAAAAGAGAGGAGGAAACTCTGGATAGTGTTTTTAATGGGAGAAGAAAAGAAATGGAAACGCCCTTCACAACTTTGTTCACAAAGGGCGAAAGGGGATATTGTAGCGCCCCAGGCTTTCTCAAGATGCTACAATGAGATGTGTAAAAAGAGAAGAGAAAAGGTTTCCGGCAGTTATTGTCAGGTCTAGAAAAAAATATCGTCTTAGAGGTCTTTTTCATTCGACAGGGTTTTATTTTACAATAACCTTATCCTAAAATAGAGCTCAAAACAACTGGAGATATGGAGCCTGCACAAAGCTTTTAGGCATTTCCATGCTTCAATCCCACTTCTCATTGCTTTTGTAAGTGAAACTGAAAAGCAAAAGCACCGAGGGGCATGTCAGCCTTCACATGATGGGTTAAAAGTGGCTTGATGAGGTTCAAAAGGCGCTGCAGCCTCAGTCAGAAGCATTTCCCCATCACCCATCCCTTTTCCAGGTTTGTGTCTGGACAAGGAACAAAGAGCTTTCCCCCTGACCTCCAACCATCTCCACCCATCAAAGGCCCGTTGATCTGGGTCTTGACTGACACGCATGGTCAAGCCTGGAGAGCGTAGAGGAAGAGGCTAAACCAGTGGTTCTCAAACCTTTTCTGTCAGGCCCCCCCTTTGGAGAAAAAAAAAAGTCGGGCCCCCCGAACACAAATAGTCACGTAATGGGCTAAGTTAACATTTATTAAAATACATCAATATGAACGTGAGCATTCCTTTAAAAAAAAAATAAAAATACCTTTGCTCGAACAGTGATAATAAAACAATGCTCCATAAGTCTGTGTGCTCAAAAATAAAATAATACAATTATGCAATCCCTTTGCTAGAACAATAAGTTATAATACTTTGCCACTTTGCAATCTGTGCAAAAAAATGAAAAGAAAGAAAATGCTGATATTTGGCAGAAAAGTGTGTCTTATCACAGGTGGCTGCAATGAGCCTGTTTTGCACTGCACATTTCTTCAAAACGGGGTTGCAGGCTCAGTGGCGGCGCCAGAGATTTATTTTGGGGGTGCTGTGGGTTAGCTTGACGTTTCATAGAGGGTGCTCAAACATTTAGGGTTTCCCATTAATGTACCGGGCGCTACAGTGGAATTTTCTACTGTAACAATTCCCACGCAAATACACAGTGTACCCGGGACTGTTACAATGAAGGCTCGATAATCAGCTCACGGCATATAGGTGTAAGCAGGGGTAAAGTTCTATTTTTACAAGTGGTGTGTGGACCTCACATCCTCTAGGGAGGGGGCAAGCTCCCCCGGGAAGATTTGTTTTTTAAATATTGAAGTTAAAAGCATCAATCTGGTGCACTTTGAGAGCAAAATGAAGAGATCTATGGATACCTCTCTCAACACCCATATGAAACAGAACTGAAAACAGATTTACTTTTTCTTTATGGATATTTTACTAATCACTCCCCTTTTAAACTGTATTCTTGTTTTACTGTCATATAGTATTTCATTCCTGCTTTTCATTTATTCTCTTATTTTTTTATAACTATAATGATCATATAAACGTGTGCCTCGGAAATAATTTTTTACATTAATCGTGACCAAACCGTTTGAGACCCACTGAGATAACTTAGACTACAGTTAACTATCTAAACACTGAGAGAATCCTTTAGTTAACTGAGTCTCTCAGTCTGACAGGAGAGGACTCTCCTCCACCTTGTTGTGGAAAAAGCTCCTTATATCTGTTAGCGTAGCTCGCTAGCACCAGAAGCTAACAACAATGATCTCCGGTAACGGTGCGCTCTCTCTCTCTCTCTCGCTCGCACACAAAATGGCTCGTTCCACACACACACAGAGCCAGGCTTGAATGAAACACAGAGACCCAGACGTACTTGTACTGTACTGTATCATATTATTTTCGAATCAATAATTTTCCAAATTATGATTTTCTTTTACGATTTTCATAACCATTTTTCCTGCTGGTCTCTCGCGCCCCCCCCTGTCATGCGTCTGCGCCCCCCACTTTGAGAAACACTGGGCTAAACCAACGATGGGTGCTATTGGGGGGCGATTGACACAGCCACAATAATCTCCCTCTGAAACATAATTGAGTATTCAGCCCTCTGCAGAGCGGTTTCCAGTTGCTCTTTGTGAGGTTGTGGTTGGGCGCTCATATCCTTGCCCTCTTTATCTCTTTGTAATACTCACCACGACCTCAACACAACGCTGCGCATCAGTTTTTGTTAAACCCTTGTTCTGTGTCCTCTTGCTATCATAGTGTTATAAAACCGATTTTATGAGTTGCTTTTCCTTTATATATTTCTTATTCTTATATAAATATAAGCTGAACATGGAAAAAAGACTTTGAATTTGATTGCAGCTTAGAAATGCTACCTGTTGTTAAACAGGCAGACTGTTCCTGCAATGCTCCACTGGGATGTCCAGATCACCATCTTAAAATCACAAAGAGACTGTGCTGTTTTTAATTTTGAATGTATTTCTTGATTAAGCTATTAATCACTTTGAGTATTGACTTTAAAGATATTTGTGCACAAATAATAAAATGTCCCTAAGTCTGAGGAGACAACATTAAGTCTTCACATTAAATACAACTCGGACTTGGTTTGGGAACTGAAGGGTTGCTGGTTCAAGTCCCAATCGGACCAAAATGTGGGGTGTGGTCTGGTCGCTGGAGAGGTGCGGTGTGTGAAATTGGAAAATTACGGGGATTATTGTAATTGATCTTAATCTTAATTGACCAATATATCAAATGTAATCAATCAATACAAATCAACATACTTTAAATAAATGTTAATACCTGGATTTTGTGTTTCTTTTCATTAAATTGTGAAATGACTGATCATGTCGAATCAAAGTATCTTTTGCAAAAATATCTGTTTTCCCATGTCCCCAATTGTTTATTTATTTTTAGATGTGAGAAACCGGAAGGCAAAATTAAGTGTGCACTTAACTTTAACCCTTCGGTGTCTGCAGGAACCCTGATGGGGACGTTCAGCCGTGGTGCTACATCGCAGATCACGAGGACGCGATCTACTGGAGATACTGCGACATCCCAACATGCAAGAGTAAGAGATCATTGACACTCCTTTATCTTTCCTTCCCTCTCTCTCTCTGAGCCCTTCCATGCCCTCGGGGCCGTATCGTGGGCACACGGACCAGCCATTTCCATTGCTATGCTCATCTGCTCGCCTGCTACGAATAGCTTTTATAGACTGTATGGCTTGTACACAACTATTATCATCCCAAAAATGTCTCTAATTGCCTCCCGTCACCCCTCTTCCTGCCAAGCCTGGGCCTGCCCGCACTTTAATGCGAGCTGTCAATCGCTGCCTCCGTGTGTTTTCGCATGTGTGTTCAGAAGTTTCCCCTTTGGCTTTGTAGCTTGTTTTGACACGTTGTTTAATGTGAGTGTTAATGTGCATCTACCTGTTTGTGGATAAATAATAAGTTTAGTGCACAGGTGGGTGTGAGAGTCCAGTAGTTGGATACATGTGTGTAGTGTGATTGTTTAAGTTTGGATATTCGCTGCTTCTGTCTTCTCTACCGGTTTGGCACACATTTACAAAGACAAGCCTTCCTTTAATCCCCTTACTTTCATTCCTTCCACCTTTTTAATCACTGCTGTTGAAAACTGACTAAGGGTGGATCAACCTACACTGGTTCTGATGCCAAAGATGAAAGAAATACAGAAGAGGAGGTTAAGATATTGCGATTAGCCGCAAGCATGTCACATGTGCATTTTTCTCACGTTCTTCCCTTTGCAAGGTAGATTAGGTTTTATTGCATTCTTTTAATCGCAAAAGAATCAGATAACTGAACATAAATCAACCCAAGCAGAAGTCTGTTTCACTCAAATAAAAATGTATTCAATCGTGTATTTTTACTCTCCAACTGACCTATACATTCTTTGATATATAATGTGTTAGGAATTAGGTCTTAGTTCTTTATATGCTTTTGCAATCCTTGCCACAACAAATAAAAGCCTTGCTTTAAAGGATTAAATTCAGCCTGTGTTCGAACTCGAGGTAAAAAGTGGACATATTGATCAGACAGTGTTGTGGCCAAATCTGAGACTTTGAGATGTTGTGAATTTTCCCTGAAGTAGGTAACGCCTGGCCTCAAGAACCCCTGGAGCTATCCCACCATTATCTTGTCTGAGTAGCATGCTCGACTAAAGCTTGCTGTTTGAATGGATTGCGTGTTTATGTGTATAGGAGCTTGTGTGCATCCCATTAGACTTTTGACTGACCTATTTCAGACAACTGTCCATTTAGCCCGGTTTTTCTAGGTTAATATCCCCAACCTTTGTGTTTTCGGATGAAAGAGTAGCCCATGTTGTCTCTTATCCCTTATCTTTGGTTGAATTAGGCCAGCTTTTGTTCCAGATTGGTTTGCCATGTGCTGGTTCAGCCTTGTTCCTCTCCAGAATCCAGCACTGTGCAGCGAGAAACCCATCCCAGCGGTGAGGCCTATTTCTACCTGTCAGGGTGAAGTCCTCAAGCGTTTGCCAAGACAAAGACGCTTTGAGCTCCTCTCAGCAGTGTGCTGTATAACCAAGAAAAACTTGTTGCTCAACTGTCTTTTTCTGCAGAAAAAGCACATTGCAGAGGCTGTGAGGCTTTTCCTTTGTAGGACATTAGCCGCTTTCACACCAAGTACTTTGCCGTACTTAGTGCCCAGCACTTAGTGCCAGCACTTAGTGCCAGCACTTAGTGCCAGCACTTAGCACCCCATGGAACTAAGTACAGTTCGCGTTCACACCGGAATAAGTTCCCTGAGGGAAGATTATGCAAATGAAGCCGCTGACGTTACTTCTTCTTTGGGTTTACTGGCAGGCCGCAAACCACTTCACGGCGTATACTGCCACCCGAAGTCCCCGGCCGGAAGTCCCTGGAGTTAGGGACTGGCTTCAGTAGAAGCTGCTGGGACTCCCAGCAGCTTCTACTGAAGCCTTCAGAGTAAATCGCCAGAACGCCGACACCTCCTCATCTCCACCGCTCCCATGTTTTATTTTGTGTTGCCATAAGTTAGTCTCTCTCAGTTGGTGCGTGGGGCTAATGCTAATGCTAATAATGCTAATGCCAGCAAATACAATGGCGGCTTCACAAAACTTTTCTGAGTTTTACGGGGCGTGGTTTGCAATTCGCCCAGCCAATTGAAATTGGGTACTTTTTTCTCCCCAGGATAGTACCACCTCTCTAGCAGGCACTAAACATGGGGGTAAAAGTACTCTTTTTGGTGTGAACGCAAAATTCCAGGCACTATCGGAACTAAACGGGAAAAGTACGGGTAAAAGTACTCCGGTGTGAACGCGCCTAATGCCCTCAGAGGAAATGCTCATTTCAAATAAAATTCATGTTGAGTATAATGATGAGAATTGTAAAGTTAAACTCAGGAATAAAAGAAGGTGATCAATCCATTGAAACACTCACATCTCCCACATTCTATCTATTCAGTTTATTCACATTTCTAACACCCTTTATGGCTTTAAGGTGCTCCTATTTCCCGGCAAAGAGCTATCAAATGGTGTCTACATGAACTATCCTCTTTCTGTTTCAGCATTTAAAATGATCCATTTTAAGAAAAGGAGATGAAGATAGCTCTGAGCCAGGCATCCAGTGTCAAGAAACATGCCTGCTCATTGGAGACGGTTTCTCCCTGTAGGGATACTAGGCAGATTTCAGACACTACTGTATGCTCTGTCTCGTCTATTGTGAAACCACAATCGCCACGTGGTGCCTCACCTTCTGCTCTCAATCGGCTGCGTTTGAAAGCTATGGCTGCCAAGTGAGAGAATGCCCATGCTCTGTCAGTGTCAGTGTTCCCAACAACAAAAGGCTGAAAAACACAGCGGTGTGCCAGAGGAAGGGCAACAGTGTTATTTGTTTTCATTTCGTCTGTTTTTTGTTTTGTCTGGGCCTCCGTTTTGTCTACTTTTTTGCTTACGTTTGATGTCGCGTGGTTGGTAGTTGAAGGCTGCTTTGCTGAGGCACCTGGAGCCTGCCAACAGCCGGGCTCCCTGTCATCTAGGGTCCTGCCACCCTGGTGAAGGTGACACACCCTGTTAGTGCACGCTGCCAGGCAGGTCACATGAGGTCAGAAACACATGGTCGGACATGGTGGATTATAGTGTAGATCACAACATTAGTAGATCCTTGTAATCCCTTATGGAGCAGTTATCATGTGCCGGAAATAACCATTTTAAAAAGCCATGCTGTCAAGGCACATCTACGACTGTGGAGATTGACATGTTCAAGGTGGAACCTAGTTATCAGCCTTTCTAACTTATTGAAGACTTACATTTTAAAAGTCTCAAGTTATTTATATTTTGGTAAATATCATTTCATTGCAAAGTTTTCCCTGCTGTTTAGGTCAGTTTTATTTGATGTATTTCTATCAGCCCTCAGTGCGTAAGGCAGAGAAGGCTTCATGTTGTTTGACTTAGCAGCGCTGATCTAATGAGGTGTAAGGAATTTACCAGTGCAGCCTCTGGCAAACTATAGGGCGTAGAGGTATGACTTCAGCAACACTTGGAATATACCAAACAACTTAATTGTTAGACAAACGAGTTTCGGCTTGTGGCCTTGATCAGGGTCATTATGCCAGAAATCCTTTCTCTACAGAACAATTTGTTCACCGGATAGAACATAGAGTTGACATCTATAATTAAGGGACTCTAATTATTTGTTTTCAATTATGTAGTCAGACAATTCCCAGAAGGTCAACATCAGTTTTCAGTTTACTTGTGTTGAGGCCAGTCTGCTAAAAAATAAGCTACATTTAGTACATTTTACTCACTTGTGATAAATAATGAATTACCATTTATGATTGACAATATGGCAAGGAATTGTTTGTAAAGACAGAAAACATTGTAGAAATATGATCAGGTCAATTGATAATGACATCTTTAGTTACACATATCAAGCATTGCGGCACTATATGTATCACTGTTGTGACATGAGCCCAAAATAATCGTTAATTGACGATCAACGTTCCTTTTTAAGAGTGTTACATACTGGAAGGACTTTTTGTTTTAGTGTGGCTCTTTTCAGCTTGCATGTGCCCTGGCTTAATTTGATTGACACAGAGTGAAACTGTCAGGGTGAAGTCCTCGAGCGTTTGCCAAGACAAAGACGCTTTGATGTGCACGGCAGGAGCTCCTCTCAGTAGCGTGCTGTATAACCAAGAAACACGTGTTGCTCAACTGTCTTTTTCTGCAGTAAAGGCACATTGCAGAGGCTGTGAGGCTTTTCCTTTGTAGGACAATGCCCTCAGAGGAAATGCTCATGTCAAATAAAATTCATGTTGAGTATAATGATGAGAATTGTAAAGTTAAACTCAGGAATAAAAGAAGGTGATCAATCAATTGAAACACCCACATCTCCCACATTCTATCTATTCAGTTTATTCACATTTCTAACACCCTTTATGGCTTTAAGGTGCTCCTATTACACAAGAGTTTGTAAAAAAGTTATTTTGTAACTTTAACTTTAAATATAAACTCACCAGGCAGGTACTGAGTTTTCTGTCTTTCAAAACTCATTACAGTATGTATGCTCTTATTTCATTCCCACTATACATCTTATCAATCGGTAACAATGTACTTTCAATCAAGTTCAAAACATATTCTTAACATAGGTATTTCAATTGTATGCTACTTTATACTTCTAATTGAGTTCATTTCAGAGTCTAACGCTGTACTTTTTATTCCACAACATTAATTTGAAATATTTAAAAAATACCAGTTACTTTGCAGATTCAGAGTTTAAATACTTATATACTGTAGAAACTGTATTATTCTTAAATGGGCCATTCTGTATAAAGAGTACTTTTAATTACCTTTTTCTTTTAGCACCTGCAGACTTTTGTGATTTTCCCTAAGTTAGGTTTTTCATGTGCAACTTGTTCTAAGTTTCTTTTTACAGTTCGACACTCTAGTATTTCTACTGCAACTTCAAAATACAATCTCCCAGATCTCCATTTTGCTTTCTTTGGCTGCCAGTATGGCGAGTATTTGCAGGTTTGTTGTGAGGACTTACTTCACCAATGATTTTTTAACATAAAG